GCATTTGGAAGGTTAGTTGGACGATCAGATATGGAGTTATGTGAGAGTCATCAGAATCTGGGGCTACAACATCCAACGATGATGAGTGCTGTCACCAAGAAGACAATGAGCAGAATATTGGCTCAAGAGTAAAACTCTGGGTTGTGTTGCCAAACAGGGTCTGAGAAGCCTGTACAAGACATCAGGAGAAATAGACTGCATTTAAGGGGACAGGAATATCAGTGTTACCATGACAGCTTAAAGTTTTAACAGAGAATACATGGCCAATCATGCCATAAGTAGGAGATGGTCCTAGTGGTGTTATATGTTGAAGAAGGTCTCTTGAACTAGCCGATATGAAGGTCCTTTGTCACTGTTAAAGGGGTTTCGTAGAATATTGGGAGGGTAGACACCAGGAACATAGAGTTCAGCAAAGAATGGGAATTAAGAAAGAAGTACCAATGACTATTGATTTAATATGGCTTACAGTGTACATATTGCTTACTTCTGGGTTCTGCTTCACTTCTTGATGCCTTTCTAAGTTCAATTTTCTTTTCTATTTCTTTTTGTTTTAGATAAGCTTGAGGTCAGAGACTGTGGATTACTTTTTTATCACTTTATCCTGAAGAACTGACACAGTAACTTGTATATAATAGGCACCTATAACTTCTGCATGGATGGAAGAGAGATAGATGGATAGAGAATGAGAACTTCTATCTGGAAACAGTAAAGTAGATCTGAGTTATTTGGAGGAGGCTCATCTGGGATCTGAATAGACAGGAAAAAATATAGAATTATGAACAAGTGGAGGTCAGTACAAAAGTTAGGAAAGAGGAAGAGGAAAGGAAATATCTGAGCTAAGTGAGTTTCATTATATCATAGAAATGAGGACAACCTTACCAAGGGTTACACAGTTACAGAGCTATGAACTAATTTAAATCAAGTTCACATTAAGCTGTCAGGAACCAAAGTTTACTCTAGATTAAATAAACACAAAACAGTAACAGAAGACCTCATGTAGTCAGGAAGCACAGAGAAGGATGGGGTGTACAGAAGTTTGAAGAAATTAATGTGTTATCTGCTCCAATGTCTGCTATGAATGACTGTCTAGATACTGAATGGTGCAAAATCTTTCATATCTGTCCCACAGTTTCACAGTTTCAGGGAAAGTCAGCTTTATACTCAACCAAACCCATAAAGGCTGCTGTACACACCAAGTTAACTCTCCCTTAGCTCACAGTAAACCTGCAAGCTCTCTGCCTGTGAGAACACTGCTTCGTTATTTCCCTTTAAGCACATTTTTTACACAGCCACAGGATAACCAGAAGAGCCCTCTTTGGGAATTGTGTCATAGCTCATGCTTAATGAAGCATTCTGGGTGGCGGGGCACTATTCTAAGCATTTTACATGAATCACCTTATATCATCTTTATAGCAGTTCCTACCAACAATATTACTGATGACATTGTAATTCAGTAGATGATGAGGCTAAGGCTGATAACTTATCCAAGGTCGTATCAGCAAGGAAAACACAAAGGTAGGATTTGAACTCATATCTGCCTCATTCCAAAGTCTGGACTCCTAACCACCAAGTTCCCCTGGAATGTGAGTGAGGAGAATTAATTCAAATTCAAATTGAAATTAATTCAAGTGTCAGAAGCATTTGGCTATCTGTATAATAAAGGAGAAGGTGGAGGGGTCAATCACAGTGCAAAACTCTGCTCCAGAGGCTTGCTGTTTTCCCGTTATTCCTCTGAACAAAAAACCCCATATTGTTCACAGTTTTTTTCCTTTTTTTTTTGAGACAGGGTCTCCCTATGCAGTGCATGCTGGCCTTGAGCTCACTTTGTAGCCCAGGCTGGTCTTGAACTCACAAAGATCCTCCTGCCTCAGCCTCCCCAGTGCTGGGCTTACAGGCTTGTGCCACCATTCCCAGCAACAGTTCACCTTTGTTGTCACCTTCAGTTCAGGTCTTGGTGGCCTTGGAGTCATTCTCTCTCTTCTAGGTGCAAACGTTGTTTGTTTAGTATATGGGGAGTTGGGTTTTTTGTATGTTCATCACTGGTTTTAGGAAATGTTTTTTTTGGCAGGCGGTTGCTTCCCACCATCACCCTCCATGGTAAAACATGTGCTACCTACCTGGTGAAAATCCCAGGAGAGCAGCTTCCAGGTGCCATCCTGTCTTGGCTGCTTTTCTCTCATTGCTGAGACAAAATACCCAGTGCCCAAAATTAAGGACAGAAAGGTTTATTTAGCTCACAGTCTGTGGAGGTTTCAGTCCATGTTTGGCTGGCTCTGAGGCAGAAGATAGCAGAGCAACAAGGGCAAAGTGGGGAATGGCAGTGTGTGCAAATCTCTTTTCCTCCCTTATGTTGTAAGAAGGCTACCCCAACCCAGGGGGTGGTACTCACATACTTAACCTTCTAAACTTCTCAAGTTGACACAATGAACAACATCCTAGAGCAGGAAGGGCATGTCCTTTGCACCCCAGGATGTAGAACTGCTGAGTCACTTAGCCAAACCTCTAGACTCCCCAAGTTGACACAAAGTATCAACCATAACAATCCACCCCTTGTGAAATCCACCCCTGGCAACCAGACACATTTCTTTAAACCCGTTTCCAGATACAAAGACATTATATTACATTAGAACCATAACATTATGCCCCCCAAAGACTCTTGTACATCCCTTTATGCAAAAGGCATTTAATCCATCGGCAAGAGTTGCCAAAGTCCTACCAGTTTCAGCATTGCTGAAGAGTCCAAGACCCAAGTCTCCTCTGAGATGTAAGGCAAACTCTTAGCTGTGAGCCCCTGTACAAATGAAAAGTTAAACATTTCCAACATTCAATGACACAAAATAAGCAGTACCATTCCAAAAGGTACAAACAGGGGGATACAGAGCATTGGGACCAAAGCAAATCCAAAATCCAGCAGGGCTAACATTATGTCCTGTAGTTCCATGTCCAGCATCTGAAGCAAACTGTGGTACATTGTGAGCTCCAAAAGGCTTGCATGAGTCCATCCCTATGGCACTTCTGGTGGTTACAGCTTCCATGGCTTCTCTCTTAGCCCTGCTTTGCTCTGTCCTTGCAGCTTTCCTCAGATGATCCACTGACCTGGCTATTCTAAACTTCTGAGGTCTCCAGGGCACCTTTTGCTTCACACTCACAGTTTCACACACTGCCCTCTCAGGGGCACACTGCCTGGCCTTCCAGGCCTTCTGAAATCTGGGTCGAAGCCTCTTTAAGCTCAGAACTCTTACATTCTCCAAGTACCTAAAGCCAGGGCCATGTAGATGATGCCAAGGTCTGCTGCCTCCTGGAGCCTTAGCCAAGCTTTCCTCTCTCTTGGCCACAGGGGTTGAGTGGCTGGATCCCTTGGCACTCTGAATCCAATTCTGAGGAACAAATTTTCTATGCTGCCGCTGTTCTGGAACCTGGTGCAGCTGCCACCGCCATATGGAACACAGTGCTCTGTGGCTTCCTTCTCAAGGCAGTCTTTTGCCTTTGCAGTTTTGAGGTTGCAAAGGGTAGAGAATTGCTGCTTGCGGTGCCCTCAGGCCATCTTTTCCATTCTCTTGTTCCTTCTCAGCAATAGAGATCTCCTCAGCCTTATCTTTGCAGTCCACAGCTTTATAGGAGCTTCCTTTCTGGCCAAACTCACAACATTTTAAATCATCCTACTGGGCTCTTTGCTCTTGATTCTCAATATAAATCTGGTTAAAAGCCCCCACAATAGCCACGCCACTTCCCCAACATTCGACTGCCTTGAAATTTCTTTTGCAAGGTTAATCAGTCCGCTGCTGTCCTTAATCTCAGTCTTAGGCAAAGTCTCTGGACACAAGCAAAATGCAGACAAACTTTCTGCCAAGCCATAACACATATTGTCTGGAGTCCCAACAACCAATGAAGTCCTTCTTCCCAACAGAAACCTCCCGAACCCTGTCTTTACCGGCAGGATTTCTGTCAGCTTTCTTATCTTCCGAGCTCTGACCAGAATCTCCCAAACGGAACAGCCAAAGGCGTTTGAGCTCTACTCTTTCAGGTAACATCTCGAAACCTTTCCAAACTCTTCCCACAAGCCATTTCCAAAGGCTCTTGAACCACATGGTCAGATACAGTAAAAGCAGCAACCCCAGTTCTCTGGTACCAAATTCTGTCTTGGCTACTTTTCTGTCATTGCTGAGACAAAATACCCAATGCCCAAAATTAAGGAAGGAAAGGTTTACTTAGCTTATAGTTTGTGGGGGTTTCAGTCCATACTTGGCTGGCTCCAAGGCAGAAGATAGCAAAGCAACAAGAGCAAAGGGGGAAATGGCAGTGTGTGCAAGCCTCTTTCCCTCCCTTACGTTATAAGAAGGCTACTCCCACCCAGAGGCTGGTACTTACATAGTTAACCTTCTAAACTTTTCAAGTTGACACAATGAACGACATCCTAGAGCAGGAAGGGCATGTCCTTTGCACCCCAGGATGTAGAACTGCTGAGTCACTTAGCCAAACTTCTAGACTCCCCAAGTTGACACAATGTATCAACCGTAACACATCCCTAGTGGAAATATTGTTCCAGTGTTGCACCCTGTCTGGAAGCAGTTTGGACTTGGTTTTCTTTATGCAAAATTGTGGCCAAATCTGAATGGTCACCAGCCTAGGCCTAGCAGATGTGAGCCAGAGCAGTGATTTCCAGTGTCTGGAAGGACCAACGGGATGAAAATAAGGGAAGACGTAGAAAGAAGTGAAATGAGTCTGAGGGCTGGAGTTTTAGCTCAGTGGCAAAGTGCCTGCCTGGCAAGCGGAAGTTCATGAGTTCCATTCCTGGTACCAGAAGAAAAGCAAAACACAAACAAAAAAACAACAAAAAAGAAATGAGTCTAAGCTTTTGAGTTAATAATTCTGAAAAACCACTTCTTGGTTTAATGATCACATTAAAATTTTGACAATTAAGCAGATTTAATCTTTTACAACTGTTGTCTGCTATTGAAAACATTTTATCACCCCGTCTTCCTCTTGCCTTTTCTCAACAGGCTGTGAAGTGCTGACAAAACTTGACTTGACCGTGAATTTTATTGGAGAGCTGAGCAGCATTAAAACCCTGACATACAACATCCATCTGAAGGAGCTCTTTCTCATGGGTAACCCATGCGCTGACTTCAGTGGCTATCGGCAGTTCGTAGTGGCCACACTTCAGCAGCTAAAGGTGTGCTTCCTCTAAGGTGCAAAAACTAAACACAGAAAAAGAAAAATGAGCAAGAACAATAATTCATGATGTGTGCACTGCATTGTAAGAAACTGTGACTCATTCTAACCTTTGAGCTTTTTTTTTTTTAAGTGCTGGGATAGGTAGAGGAGCTCTCACAAGCTACACATGTGTTTTACCTCTGTGTGACACCCTTAGCCTTGGTTTGTTTGTATTTGTGTTTTATTTCTAAGACTCACCTTGGTGAGGAAGTTGTGGTTAAAACTGGTTGAAAAACTAAAAATTATATATCATAAATATCACCATATGTATCCCCTGAATCTAATATTTTTAGAATGTCGGTGTAAAAAGATTTCTAGGGGAAGTATACAACTGCGAATATCAAAGCAGTTGTATTCAAAGCAGTTGTGTTCATGTTCATGTAATGCCAAAGGTTCTCCCCTACATGCAGCTCCATGCTTCTGCAAAGACAATGTGTGCTGGCAACGGCTCTGCAATGGGTATCTTCTCAGTTCCCAGAGGACATTTGTTTCTTAAATTTCTGTGTCTTCTGTAGTTCACAGATAGCGATTGCTAGACTAATGGAACACATTTTTTTCTAATGTAAAGTGTCATAGAAGAAGAGAATGACTAATTCAACTGTGAACTAGTGATCAATTCTCTCAAACATACTCCAGACTGACAATCATTGTACAGTAGATTACTAGAAAATGAGTGGCTGAGGACCAGGGTATCACAGGAATGGATCCTCTAATATTATACTGAGAGGAATGGTCTTGGAATGCTGAAGGAGCCGGAAGGCCGTGAGGTCAGCACAGCTGAATCCATGTCAGTGATACAGTGCTCAGGCTGAAGGTGTGTAAGCATCATCTGGGTGATGGAAACAGGCTGGTTAGTGCCAGCTGCTTTGTGCATAGCACCCTTGCTCTTCTCAGACCTATGCAGGAGACAGTAGAGGGTATTCAGAGATGAGAAAGTCAGGGCTCAGAGAATTGATGCTCTTTATCTGCACTGATACACCTGACAAGTAGAACAGGTAGGATTTGAACCTGCGTGTGTTTGGCTTTAAGCCTCCAGCATTCACTCTACATCCACACTCACTGGTTTTCTTTGCATCAGTATACAACGATTGGATTACGTTTTTCCTTTCAGAACCACTGCACCAAGTCAGTAGTTATAATAGACAACAACCTCCTTTTGAAAAACTGTTCACAAGTATGTCATTAACATTTAAAATGGGTTGATAAAACTGGGCATGGTGGTGCATCCCTGTAATTCTGGCCATGCAGGCTGAGCAGGAGAATCTTAAACTTGAGCCTGAGCTGGGCAATTTAGCAACTTAGTGAAATCTTATCTCAAAAATAAAAAAATAAAAATAAAAAAGGCTGTGGGTGTATCTCAGTGTGAAGGCCCTGGGTTCCATCTCAAATACTACCCCCAAAAAGATTGATAAACTTTAGAATTTTAATTACCAATTTCATTGAAAATGTGTGATCTACTTGAAAGCAGTTATGTTACTAGACATATCATTTTTCTAGGACTGTTATAACAAAGTACCACAAACGGAATAGTGTAAACAACTTGCTATCTCCTAGTTCTGGAGCCCAGATATTCAAGATCAAGGTGTCAGCAGAGCTGTCTCCCTCTGAGGGCTGTGAGGGAGAGTCTGCTTCTGGCCTCTATCCTGGTTTCTGGGATTTGCTGACCATCTTTGTCATTCTTGGACTTGTAGATCCATTACTTTGATCTCTGCTTTCATTTTCACATGGTGTTCTTCTTGTGTCTCTGTCCTTTTACAAGACTTTCTTTCTGTAGAGACGTCAGTCAAATTAGATTAGAGGCCCACCTTCCTCCCAGTATAAATTTTATCTTGATCAATTACACCTGCAATGTTTCTACTTCCAGATAAAGTCACATTTTGAGGTCCTGGGGGTTACAACTTCAATTACTTTTTGGGGTGAGACATTGTTAACCTCAAACAACAGAGTAGTGATTGATTTTAGACACCCATGGGAAAGAGGCATGAGGGGATTCAGGCCTCTTCACATGTTCTTTTCCCAGTGCCTCGCCTCTGCAGATGGTAAGTAGGCTTTTTGCTATAGTATATAGATGTGTTAGGAGACAGACAGGGTCTGATTCATGCTCCCATTACTTATGAATCATATACCTCATTCTATTCAGTTATAATTGGATACTGTTCTTAGTGGAGTTTTGTGAGGCCTTGAAGAAATCTTAGTTCTTTTTCTCTTTATTGCAGTACATGCAGAATTACCAATAAGAATGGACACTCTACCTCTGTTTTTTCAGGAAACCTGAGTAAGGAACCATCAAGAAATGCCAAAATACTCACCTTGAGATTTCATCTCTGCTAATTAGTCCTTCTAAACTGAAAAATGATTTTAGTCTAAAAGAAATTTAGGCCTGTTTGGAAGACTACTTAATAGTCATCAAATAAATTGAGGTCCCTAAAATAGGTGGTGGGCCCAGGCCCAAATTTGTTATCAGTTCTTACTATGAGGTCTCTTGTCTATAAGATAATAAAGGGATCATTTGTAATTTGTAATTATCTATTACAAATACACGAATACCTTTGTTCTCAAATGCTTCTCTTCATGAACAGTTCAGTTTGCAAGCAGAAGCATTTGGAAAGATTTTCCTTCCATTTGTGAACTCCGTATTGGGTGACAACATAACTGCAGCCATCTTCTTCACATGAACATGAACACAAACACAGGTATCTTCCTCTAAATTGTGGAATGAATTAAATTCATGAACTGTGGTACCACTCTAGGAGGACTAATCAAGTCAATATTTAAACCAAGTATAAAGACATTTTGATAAATGAACACATGCATGCACTCCACATACAGGTAAGAGAATATCAATTTGCTTCCCAGTTGTATTAGTTAGGATTCCTGGAGGAACATATACCATATAAAATATGTATATGATTACATAAGGAGTTTATTAGGTAGGCTTACAGAATCAGAGGCAGAAGTCTTCTGTCTGTGGGATAAGAGACCACGGAATCCACAATACTCCACTGTGCTCTGGAAAGCTAAAGAATACCATAGCAGTTGAAGGTCGAAGGCCTGCAAGATCTCTGCATTATCAGTGGTGGGAGTCTGCCTCGGAAGGCGAAAGAGTCTTCCTTGGAAGAGAGGAACTCTTCCTTGCAGAGGAGTCTGTACTGGAAGGCTGGAGGAACTGGAGACCAGTGTGCAAAGGCAATGGAGAAGACCAGAGCTCCTCCAAAAAAAGGGAAACAGTTCCTTCTTCCTTTTTCCTTTTTTATTCCATGCAAGCTACAAGCCCATTGGTTGGTGTCACCCATATTCAGGGTGGTTCATTTTCCCTCCGTTTGCTGGCCAACATGACAATCATGCACAGACACGCCTAGAATTTTCTAATGTGCTAGGCAATTCTTACTTGTTAAGATATCACAATTAATGTCAACTGGACAAGCACATATACCTCCCTAAAACTACTTAATCTCCAAACACAAAAGCAAGTTTATAACTACACCTAACTTAATACAACTCTCATGCATACAATGGAAACTAACTACTTCCCTACCTAAAATAAATGGCAAAGTTTTTCTTTAGGTAGCACTTACACTACTCCTAATACAGTGGTGCATCAGTTCACAAACACTTTTGTTTGCAAACAGTTTGGTTCACAAACAGAAGCATTTGGCAAAATTTTGTTTTTGCTTGCAAACTGCATCAAGTGACAAACACAATTGTGGCCATATTTCCCACACAAACACAAATATGGCCATCTTTTCCAAAACCATAGAACAAATTAAGTTCATGAACCAAAGTACCACTCTTTCATAATTTAACATTATAATATAGAGTTGACAATACTTAAGAACCAATATTAAGTTAATCAGCGTTATGCTACAAAGAAAGAAAACAAAGAAACCTGTTTAGTACATGTATATATATGCACATGCATATTAATAATGTAGGGAAGAAATACTAATGACAATTACAAGCTTTGTTTCTGTAACTGGTCATGCACTTGCAGTTAGTATTTATAACTGTCTTCATCTATTACCCATTCTTAATTCCTTGGCTTTCAGCAAGCATCTCAGTAGCTCTTGGTTCCTTGATGTCTTCATGTCTGTCACCATTCTGGTCTTCTGAACTTCATCCATAATTTCCTGTCAATCTCTCTTTACAACATCCTGGGGCTTCTCTAGCTGGTATCTCCAGATCTTTCCAAAATCCTCCTGAGACAGAGTTTCAAAGATTTTTCAGCCACATAGTCAGTGATAGTCACAGGAATGATTCCATTCATGGTACTAAAATCTGTCTTAGTCACTGTCTCATGACTGGGACAAAATACTTGGTACTCACAACTTGAAGGAGGAGAGGCTTATTCTGAGTTACAGTTCTAGAAGTTTCAGTCCATGTTGGCAGGCTCAAACACAGAAATGGCATGAGTGTATAGGAAAGATCCTCAGGTCATGATCACCAGGAAGCAGAGAGAGAAAGGAGGATCCAGGGAAGAAATATATCCTTTAAGGTCATGGCCACAATGCCTTGCGCCTGTTAGGACCAGATCCCACCACCTGACAGCTCATTAAACTATGGATTCATCAGTGAATTAACCACTGATAAGTATAGCATCGTAGTCATCCAGTTACCTTCCAAACGCATGAAGCTTTTGGGGGACACCCCGTATCTAAACCATAATTCTAGTGTTCCACAAAATCCCAGTTGAAAGAGAATGGATTTATCTAGAATTTTCCAAATTAGTATTTATTTATGTATGTTATATATCTTAATTATGTACATGTATTATTTTTATCTAGTATTATTTATATAAATATATTGTTTACATATATGTTATGAGATTTATCTTTATATAATTAATACATTTTATATATTCAGAATTTTCCAACTTGATTAAATTCTAACAATTCTAAAATTATGTTAATTTAGATATGTACAACGCAATTAGTTATTACCTTACAAAGTGGATTTTCTCAGTATGGCCCTATCTTTCACTGAAGATACTAAAAGAAACAACCTTATACCATCTGTTACTCCTATAGGAAGAATATAGGACATTACTTCTCAAGATCTCTGTTATAAAATTCTACAAGTATGTTGTAGAGAAAAATGCTGTATTAGAACAGAGCCAGAAACTACTATATTTAGTTCACTAAAGGCTGAAAATTGTGCAACTGATTATGCTTTTCCGTTTTGCTTTGGATGCCAGGAAGATCTGAACCAAATCTCCAGCCCATCTATAGCAGCCACATGAGTTCGTATTATCAAAACATATTTGAAATTATTTTTTCAAATACCCACATTATGCTTTTGATCCATAATTTAATTTATCTGAATAGTTTTTTATTTATATTTTAATACTTTTTTTCTATTGCTGTTGTAATAAGCCAACATAAAGTTAGTGGCTTAAAACAATACACATTTATTTTTTAGTTCTAGGGATCAGAAGTCTGAAATGGTTTCATTGGGCTAACATCAAGATATTTTGTTTGGAAGTTCTAGGGGAGAATCCTTTCATCTGCCTATATTTGTGGACTTTTGGCCTATTTCTCAATTTTGAAAGCCAGTAGTGAATTATCATTTCATCTTGGGGTGGGGATGTAGCTCAGTGGCACAAGTGCCTGCCTGACAAGCGCAAGGTCCTGAGTTCAATTTCCAGTACAGAAAAGGAAGAGTATCATTTCATCTTGCCCTAACTCTGACCCCAATATTTAGGCTTTCTTTGTTTTCTTATAAGGAAGGTTGTGATCCTTATAATTGTCTCCCTGATTATCCATGATCCTTAACTTACATCTCTAAAGTTCTCTTTGCCGTGTGAGATAACATTCATGGAGATTAGAAAATGGACATTATTGAGAAACCATCATCATCTTAGCACATGCTTCCAAATATATTGTCTCTTTTTGTAGAAGGAGGCCAGTTAAATGGCAGTTATCTTGAAAGTGGGAGCTTTGCTATTTCAGATTTAGCTGGTGTTTTTATTTTAATATTTTAATTTAGAAAATTTGCAGTATTATAAAAATAGTAGATGTAAGTGTTGACTGTAACAGTTATAGTACCCTGTGTGCATCTTGTTCTCAAGGATGGAACATGGGCTTGTTTGTATTAGAGCTCACTTGTTTGTAAGATCCAAGGCCCTTTTCAGCAGAGAATATTAGGATGTGTTGTGATCGTACTTTAGAGCTAGATTTGATTTAACCATTGAATTTCTTAGTATAGTGAGCAATTATAAAATTAAAATAACATATTTTGAAAGTTTTTCATTAATTATCAGCTTAACAGAAAGCTTATTTATTAGTACTAGTAAAAGTGCTTTGTAATGTGCTCAAATGTTAATTATATGAAACATTGATTTAGATGAACATTGATTTAGATCAATGATTCTCATATTTTCTATTTCTTTGTCTTAATTCTCCATCAGTATGGTACATTATTGTTATTTCTAAGTTTAAAATATTGCTGTCAAAGTAAACTAAGGATTGACTCATTTGCACTGATACTTTTGAATAATGTACTGTTTGTTATTTATTTAAGTGGCTGGATGGTAAAGAAATAGATCGTTCAGAAAGGATTCAGGCACTGCAAAACTATCCAGTAGTTGAAGAGCAAATCAGAGAGCAGGAAAAAGCTTACCACCTCAAAAGAGCCAGAGAGAAAGAGGAGGCTCTGAGGAAGCTTGCAGAAGAGGGTGAAAATGCAGACAAGCAGAGGAAGAGCAACCCCGGCTTCGATGGGCGTCCCTCCGCAGACATCCACGTGGCACTGTAAGTAAGTCAGCAGTGCTGGTTTTCTGGCTGATTTGTTTTTTTTATGGAAACAGCAAGGTGTATTTTCTTCCCAAGATATTCCCAGTATCACTTATATTCTGGAAGATTCATTTGAAAAATAAAATATGATGTAACTTTTGGGGGGAAGAATATGACCATTCTGTTGTTTGTTACAATTCTCTCTTTACAAAAAAATGCCTCTTCAAACTGCCAACTTTAATTTGCATCTCAAATTACCTCCAGAGAAATTTCTACAAAACATATACAGGAAAGATGAATTAACAGGTGTGTTTTGATTTATAAAGTAGGCATTTTAGAAAAGTTAAATGCACTTCACATGATTATAAATTGAATAATTGTGATTGCATCATAAAACATTCTATTTTGTGAATTATATAATGAATAGATCTTTAATATGATTAATAGTCCTCTAATTCATCCTTTTTCTGAATCTCAATTTTTCATGCTTTAAGTAAATTGCAGCTATACTTGGTTGATATGATTCCATACAATGAAACCTTTAAATATTTATATTATGCCATCACTTAAAATCAGGAAAACAATAATTATAAAATAATTCAGATGCACATAAATGTTTAAATGATAATTAAGTAGGCAGCTATTCTCCTACCACCCAGATACATGATGACCATTTTAAGTTTTACTTTGGCTCTTTGAAAAATAAGACATAAAATATAATTAAGGGATAGAAGCCCATGAGTAGTTAGTTCCCCTGTAAGTTATTCCTTTCTTCATCCTTAGCAGTTTCTGGCATCCTGAAGCCTGCATTTACTTGGCATGTGTTCATCTCATCCACATTTTTAATACTTACACAAGAGTAGTGTGTTTATGTATGTGCACACGTTTAGCATGAGTGACACCTGCTGACAGCGTTATTTTTCATTCACCATTCATTCACCAAAATGGGGGATTTCTGCATATGATTACATATAACATTAATTCATTTTAACTATGAAATAACATTCCATTGAGTGAATAAATTATAATTATTCCAGAGATGATATGCAAAACATTTACCAGGCAGGGATTCACTGACCCTGGCTAGGCAGAACTTGTCCCAAATGTAACAGCTTGTGTGGTCCCACCAGCTGGTGGCAGCTAACTAGCCCAAGAGCAGCCATGCGTCTTAGGATGGCTGTTTATGTTGTTTATTCTGTTTCACATTCTCAGGCACTGTTACACATTTCTCCTTGTGCACATATGAATGTTGCTGTCTAGAACTTTTTTTGTTTATTTGTTTTTCCAGTACTGGGAATCGAACTCACGACCTCGCGTTTGCCAGTCACGCGCTATGCCGCTGAGCTAAATCCCCAGCCCCAAATGTTGCTGTCTAGGGTACTTTAACAGCAATACTGCTATGTCATCAATTATGATACCTTTTTAACTTCATATGTATTGCCAAAGTGTTTTCTAAGTTTATATTCATATATCAATAATACAGAAAAAAGTTCCAAAATATGATTTTTAAAAGATGTTAATGTCAAACTTTGTTGTAAAATGGCACCTATTTTTATTTAATTTGCACATATGTAGGTAAATATGAGTTTGAATATCTTAAATATATTCTTATGTGTTTATTGACTACTCACATTTGCTCCATTCAGGTTCACTGCTTATTTTTAGTAAGTAGGGTTTTCTCTTATTCATTGGTAGTTTTTATGTGTTCTGCATACAAATTCTTTGCTGGTTACTTGGCTTGTAAATATCTTCTCCCAGTCTGTAACTTATCTTTAATTATAAGTGCTTCTATTTTGGAAAAAGCAAAAATAGTTAAACTTTTTGGTTTTGTTTATGAGATTCATCATTATCCCAGTATCATATCTATCTATCTAGAATCGACCTTCGTTGATGCTATAGGGTACAGTACTATTGGTTTGCAAATGGGTTGCTAATTGTCTATACCTTTTATTAAGTTTCTTTTCTTTCCCTGCTGATCTGAAATGCCGCCCTTACCACATGCCTTCTGACCATGTATTTATGTGAGCATTTCTGGGTACTCTCAACTGCTCCTTAGGACTCCCTCCATTTGGTTTTAACTTCTCTAGATTTATAATAAATCTAGGTATGTGGTAGAATATCTTCTAATTTTTCAAAATTATCTTGGTTATTCTTTGTTCTTTACTCTCTTCCATGAATTTTAGAATCCACTAATCAAATTTTCTAAAAATCTCTAGTAGAACTTCGGTTTAAATTGTGTTTAATTTATATGTTAATTGGGAGAAAGTTGACATATTCATGACAGTCTTTTCTTCCTGGACTTTGGAATAGCTCTTTGTTTATTTAGATCTTCTTCTGCGTTCTTCAATAAGGTTTTCAATTTTCCCTATAACACTTAGACCATCTTTCATTAAACTTGTTCCTAAGACTCTCATAGAATTGGATTTTAAAGATGAACATATAATTAGTTCTTTCTGATGTTTAAGGAGAGGAATGATTCCCAGATACTGATAAAGATTAAGCAATCTTACTGACTTTCTTAAAAGATACCATAGTTAGCCTATATATTATTCCATGCTTTCTGTGTAAAAAGTACATTGCTTATAAATAACAGCTTCAAGATATTTTGTCAATCCTTCTGCCACCACTGCATTGTCTTCACATTATCCACAAAGTTATCCAGTATGGAACAGAGCAGCAGCCGTAAGAATGGGCATCTCTAGCATGTTCCTGATATAAGCAATGTTTTCAATTACTCATCAAGTGTAAGGTTTACTATGGAGTTTGGTAAAGTTAAGTAAGTTTCCTTCTAGTCTCTCTCTCTCTTCTTTTTGTCTTTTTACCGGGTCTCAGTATGCAGTTCAGGCTGGCTTTGAGTTCACTTTGTAGCCCAGGCTGGTCTTGAACTTGTGACTATCCTCCTGCCTCAGTCTCCTGAGTACTGGGATTACAGGCGTGCATCACCATGCCTGGCTCTTCTATTCTCTTTTGATAAAAAGTTTTAATCATCACACTTATTGGATTTTTATTAAATGCTTTGATGTTAATGTGTTGGATCACACTAATAGATTTCCTAATATTAAATTATCCTTGAATTTCTAGAGGAAACCCACTTTGTCCATGATATATTTATTAATGCATTGCTGTGTTCTTTTTGTATCTTATTTATAATACTTGAACCTATGTTTATAAGTGAGTTTATGCTACAATATCTTTCTCTTATTGTATTTTTCCTGATGTTTTGCAGCAGGATGACAGTGGGCATGGAAACTTATTGGGGGTCATGTGCTATTTTTGGCTTTTGAAAGTTTACTCAAGTGGAAAATCTCCTGCTCTTCGTATGTCAGTAGAGGCTTGTAGCTAGATTCCTTGCAGATGTCCACTTGCTGTCCCACAGGACTGGCTGGTCCTTCAGCGCTCACCACTGTCACCCCATCCAGCCTATGTGAACAGAGGCCCAGACCATCTGGGGGAGTCATTGAGCTAGTGAGGCATTGACTTAATTGAGGAAGGGTAAGAGACCACCCAAGGCTGTGAAAAGAAACAGCACAGAGATTCAGAGACTACAAGAGGGAGAGATTAACATTCCACCTTGCAAGTAGGTAGAGCCTGTTTCCATCCAGGAGAATGGACAGGATGGGGAGTGAGCTGGAGCAGTGCAGAAGAGAGGATCAGGAAAGACACAGCATTAACGGAAACAGCTCACAGTGTAACATTTCTCAAGGCCAAGTACATATAGCAGAAGAAGCCTGGGTTGAGCTGTCCTAAAAGTAATATTACTCAAGAGGGTAATAGCAGTGAGCAAGTGTGGGCTGGATTACAGTGGAAGAATCTGAAGAGTTGTCGCAGAGGACCATCAGGGAAGTAGAGTGACCATCTTGACAGAGAGTGATGTCCTTAGAGGATGCTGTCAGTACCTCTGAGAACTGCAGGGCTGCCCACAGGAAGAGAAGCAGGGATCTGAGTGATGGCCCCAGAGAGGGCAGCAACAGCAAGTTTCTAACAGCAGTGGTCATGTCAGCAGTGCCCACCTCCTCCCATCCACCGCTCTGTGCCTCAATCTCTGAAGGCAGGGCACCCCAACAGGCCCACTGAGATAAGTCAGAGGGCCAAGGAATAAATGAGCAGAGAGGATAGGAAAAGCTGGTGTGCTTTTCCTGGCCACAACTCAGTCTTGAGCTGGATGAAGGGAGAGAAAAGCTTTGAGAAAGAGGAAAGGGCTTGGTTGTACATCTGAAGCCTTGTTAAACTACTGCCATTTTAATGCCTAGAAGTGAGTTTCAGTTGAGATGAGCATGCTCTTGAAAGTGTTAGAGGACCATGGGGTCTGTTCCTCAGTGGGAAGAAGGTCCAGAGAGTAGGGCTGAAGGAAGTAATTGAAAAGGAGATTTTGATGTTGTTCAAACACTAATGTACATTATTTCATCAGCCAGCTACCTACATTTGTGCTCATTTTCCCTTTGGAAATTTATGTTGCTTAGCTTATATTCCTGGTAGTTTTTCTTAGAGTTATTTTTATTTTATTTTATTTTTTTTATTTTAAAGCAAAAGAACAAAAACAAAATAACAAAAATAAAGACATAAACAGAACAACATAAAAACAATTAAAATGATACAGAATTTCAAAACAAGGTGATAGGAAATTAACAATGGTTGTTGTATTACATATTGTTATCTTCAAAGTGGTTACTCAGATAACCAGATCTAGGCATGTAAGATTGATCAAACAATTAAACATTAACTGTTAATTGCAAAAGGTGAAAGTAAACCAATTAGTTACTCTCCAGGAAGAAGTCACTTAATGAAAATGGAATCAATTATTTCAGTGGCAGTTAGCTAGAGTATTATAGAATATTATAGGTTTCTTTCATACATTGTTTTTTCAATACCTTAAAGAACTAGAGCTGCATGGCAGAGCATTTATTTTCAGTGATTTGCACATTTCATTTATTAAAACATCTAGGTAAATTAATATATAAAGAACCTAAGCACGATTTTAATCCAAGTCATTTATACTATTTAAATGTCGTTTTACTATTTTTTTGTCCATCATTTGAAAAGCATCTTGTTTGAAGATCAACTAAATAAACATTTTATGTTACCTCACGTCAGTAACAACAACAAAATCTGACATTTACTGAGTACTTACTATTTGACAGACTTGGTACTAAAGGCTTCATGTACCTATTTTATTTAATACATTTTCTAAGAGAACGAATATTCTAAAGAGATATGGGGAAGGGGAGTGACCATACCCAATATTTACTGTTTAAATAATGTCATTTTCTCCTGCTGGAATAGAATCATCTCCTGAAAGTGGTGTCATGGTCTTTCTTGACCAGGATTATGTTTCTGATGCCTGGAATTCAGAATATAGCCAAAAAATATTCTTTAAACTCATATGGAATGAATGTTGAGTATTTCGTATAATACCTATTCAATGATGTATAAATGTATCATTTAATTCTCTGACAGTCCAAAAACAAGGATAAAATGAAACAAAACCATTACAATATTAACGCTGCATAATCAGTAGTTAAGTATGAAAAATAAAATAGTGCAGGCTATCTGTGGAAGGTCTCATACGTTCCACCAGAGAGTTTTGGAGGGAAACAGTCATTAAAGAACCTGAAAGTAATATGATCCAGTGTGCTACTAGGGCCAGCACTGGGAGCAGTGTAGAGGGTGGAACTGGAACAGGCCTGGAAATGAATTGCTAAAGCTCCATGGTTTCTTTGTTTGTTTCATTATCAGAACCTCCTGCAAAATAATTTATGTATTTCCAGGCTCCAGCCAGATCTACTGAACAAACTTTCTGATGGGAGGCTAGAAAACTACCTTTTATAAGGCTCCCCAGGTAACGCATATCAGCCAGGCCTGTGGGCCTGTCAATCTGATACTGCACTGACCGAGGATGAGGGCCTTCTTCAGTGCTGTGACGGTGACTTCTTCCAACTTAAGTCTCCTGATATGTACTGTATTTCTAGCACACACACATGCATGTGCACATAGACACACATGTTATGTTTATATATGCATATATGTGGGGGTGGGTAATCTATATTATACTGAGCTTGAAACCAGAACAACTTAGCTGAGATAGATACTTGGAAGCATTTGTCATTCAAAGGTAGGAAGTCAACCTAAGGAAACAGTATGAGATGCTTAAAGGGCAGCACTAAGGATGAAACTCTTGATCTTTTATGTTCTGTGTCTATTTGTTTGCCATAGCTCACCTTCTTCAGAGAGCAAAGACCACATCCAGGCGCCAAAAATACAAGAAGAGGCACACAACACAAAGAAATCAAATGGAAGCGAAGATGACCTAGAATTCTGGAACAAGCCCTCTTTGTTTACTCCTGAATCTAGATTGGAAACCCTTAGACATATGGAAAAGCAGCGGAAAGAACAAGAAAAATTAAGGTATGATATATTTTCCTATCATTGAGGGTGAGACAGTACTCTGAAGGACTGCATTTCCATGATTGTAGATTATTTTTGTCATCATTTGTGTTAAGCTTTTCTTAGTCATCACACAAGCTTTACTTTTTATTAAATATGGCTTTTTTATTGGATTGTACTGGCTTATACTCATTAATATCAAAGTGCATCTTTATAAAAAAATGAATCATGACATTTGAGGTAAGGTTTTGTTTTTGGCATTTTAACTATCGTACAGATGTCTAGGAATAGCATGACCTCGCTTAGAAATACTAGTTTTCAGGGTGCAAATAAAAAGGTCATTGTGGGATGAATGAAACTCCTTTGAGTTATTTCTAGAAATTTCCAAAATGGAGATTTAGAATTCATTTCATTTGGCATTTTATTTTCACAATATGACTCGCTTGGACATTTAACAATATGATTTCATTTTTTTGAAGTGTTTAGATATAATTTGATGATATGTTGGCAGCTAAGATGCCTAAGCTTTTCTTTTCAAAGTACTCTTCAAGCGTAGGTTCTGTGTCATTCCATTTCATGTCATTGCTGAAGTCTAGCATGTAAAATATATCACTTATAGGAATGGCTGTGATTTACCATCTTGAGAAACATGATGAATTGGCTGTGAAATACAGCAGTCTGCAGGACAGTGACATGGTATATCTTCCTATTATTATCAACTAAAATAAGAAACTAAGAGTAGAAAGATTATTAGAAATTTCTGATGATTTCATCAAATATTTTTAATTTATTAGAAAGGTAGGGAGGTACAACAACCAAGTAAAATGTTACCTAAGACTTGTTTGTAAATGTGGTGGTTGACCATGGTGAGGTCTCCCTTGCTTTGGAGGAGAGCTGGCCTAGCATCAGACAATGTGTGCATTCACTTGCTCTCTTAAATGATTCTTCCAAGTACCTAAGTCTTCCTTATCTGTTTCCTCATCTGTTAAATGGGACTTATCATACCTATTTCCCTACTGTACTATTTTGTTAAGAAAATTAGATGAGCCAGTAAATGTATTTTGCAGATTCAAGAGCCCTTTGAAATGAAAATTCTACATGTTTATAGAATACATATTATATTTCTAGCACACAACATACACATGCATATAGATGCAGGTTATGGTTGTATATGTATATATGTGATGTATATTGAGCCTGAAACCAGGGAAATTTTGTTTTCTTTTGTTGTGTTTTTGATCCCTGATATGTAAAAGAGTAAGGCTGAGTTGGTTGGAGCTCTGAGTTGCTCTGTGTAGTGTGCTGGAGTCTACCAAGTCTATTGGGTCCCAGAGATATTTGCTTATGATTGGTCATTTTCACTAGCTGGAAGAATCCAGAGACAAGAGCAAGCTTTTCATCTTAACTTGGCTCTTGTCCACCATGAGTAGGTGAAGCTAGATATTTCCATTTAATTGTCCTCGGTTATTGAAGTAGTAGCCTAAATGAAATAGGAGTCCCAGTTAAAGATGGAGAAGAATGTAATTTTTTAAAATAAAGTTAACTGACACAAAATGTCTGTTAAAGGGACAGTAGAAATTTAAAGCAAACATAGCCTACAATTCTATCATCTAAACAAATTTGTCTGTCTTATCTTTTAATTTTGTTCATGTATACCTGTTCAGATTTTTAAAAATATTTCTTTAGGATGTTTTAAATAGAAATTATTGACTAAATTTTTATTTAAAATTTTATTCCATAGTAATCTTCTGTTTTATTTTCTTTCCTCCTGTCCTGTCCTTCAGTATCATGAGCTTTAACAGGGTTAGGCTAATACTGTCACACATTTCTTCTCCCGTACTCGTGTAAATCATCTCTGCAGAGTAGAATTGGTGTTCAAATTTTTTTAAATGAGCTGGGGAGGTAACTTAGTCATAGAATGCTTGCCTGGCATATTTAGAGTCCTGAGATTAATTAACCCCAGTACCACAAAAAAGTGGACTTATATACTGTATTTGTTTTCACTAAAATATGTCATTTTTTTAGATTAGCAGATCAAGAGCAAAAAAGTTTTTAAGTGGTTGTAAGATATCTCATAGCATGAATATGCCATAGCAGATCCAGTCATCCCTCCATGATAGATATTCAGAACAGTTTTTGGTTTTTGCCACTACAAATGAATCTGTGAGAAATATGTTTTTATGTACTGGTATTTTTATTTCTATAGAATAGATTTTAATTATATATTAAAAATTATAATTTTAACTAAAGCAGAAACTATGCACAATTGACAGTTATCTGGGTAAATCATGCATAAATAGACTCATTTAAATATTCATCAGTATTCACGGATATTTCATGAAAAGGAATTTTCTTTCCCCATCCAAATTATTTTAGTCGCACTTTTGCTTTACAGATATAGATGCAACTATATAAAAATCTGTCTTGATTAATCTCCAGTATAAAATTAAAGAAATTGACTTAAGAAGTGAATTGTTCATGTATTCACAAATGTTTGATTAATTCTTCTGAAACTTTCACAAAAAATATTAATTACTTTTGTATTTTTTTATTTTCTCCTCTCCAATTGCCTCTTGTTCCCACCCCCCTCCAATCTTCAGTGAAAAGAAGAAAGAAGTGAAGCCACCACGGACTTTGGTCACTGAATCGGGCAAGGCCCTGAATGTCAATGAGCCCAAGTAGGTGAGGGCAGGGAAACCAGAAGCACTGCTTCTGGTGCTGGTTGACACACTTGCTTTGTAAAGACTGGATTGACTGTTCTTACTGAGTTTGACGAGTCTAATAATAGTGTCATTTTTGTGCATATTTAAAAGCCAAACATCTATTACATTTTCAAATGCATAATTTGCTTGGCATCTAGAAAATGGTCTTAACATATGGAACCATAGTTATTTATGTATTCCATGAAAGTTTGGACCATATACAATTTTGTGCCTGAAAATTGCCACTGCATTATTGTTGCGTTTATGAATTTTTAAAGCTTTGCCATGAGCAAGCTGGCTGAGAATACTGTGGTATCTTCTTACATCTACATTATATTCTTGAACCTATCTTCTAAGCATTCAAAAGCTAAGGAAAGAAATTGATATAAATACCTCAATGAAGTTAAGAAGACAGGGAAAATATTCAAACTGGAAGTCCTCAAGTTTAATGATAGCTGACCTACCCTATCTATTTGTCTTTAAGTTAAAAACTAGAAAGCAGCCAAAAAGGCCTTCTGTGGCCTAAATAGAGACAAACAAGCGTGTGGATTAAATCTCATTTGTTCACTTCCGTCATTTAATTTGCTGTGTTATTACCATGATAATGATAAAGGCACTGACTAGAACCATTCATCTTTCCAGCAATCAGGGGTGGTAGGCAGGATTTCTTTTTCACAGGTATAAAGCCTGAGCCTGAGAGCTGAAGTGACTTGCCCAAGGCCATGTGACTATTGGGTGGTGTGTCTGTCTCACCCATGCTCACCCAGTTCTAGTAACTTCCAGATCGCATCTCCAGACTCCTACTCTCCCTGCTGCATATCCTCTGTACCCAGCAGACAGGATGCAGTGGGAGACCCAGAGCTAGGCCCTCTGGACTCAGCAGTGAGTGCAACAGGAGCTATCTTCATGGGGCTTAAAAATCCAGTAGTAAGAATTTCAGTTCAACCTAGGCAGGGTGCAAGGAGACCCCCAGAGCTGCTCTTCCTATCACACTGATCCCCGTCTCTGCCTCTAAAGTCAGTTCACTTAGGAAGATGCTATGAAGAATGAACTACTCACCACCTCCCCCTGCTACTGCCGACTCTCTTCATGCCCTGTCACCCTCCTAGTTCATCTTCCTCTTCCTCAATCTTATTCCCATATGGCTCTACCTGATTCATTCCATCTGCCCTCCTTGACCCCCATCTTCTCTGGTGCCCTCTGAAGGTTATGCTTCACCGGCAAAGTGTGTGTCCCCACCCTTCTCTCCCCATGTGCCATCTCCTTCCACCAACTGAAGCTGAGAGCTCTGCTTCCACTACACTCTTGTTCTCAGCATGTGAGCCACAGGGAGGTACACCCACAGCTGCTTTCAGATCCTTTTTCCTCTTGCCCTAAACTTCCCTGGCTCCACAAATGAAAGCACAGGCCATTTTGATACAGTGGCCCTTCCCCTTCTTACTGCACTTGTCAGGTTAATTTAAGAAATCTCCAGCACTCTACCCTCTCCATTCACCCTAGCACCCAGACCCTTGTCTCTGCCTCTTCTCCCACTGTCAGCCAGGGCACCTTTATCACACATCACAGAAGCCCTGACTGCTCAGTTTTCTGACTACTTCAATTCCAACCACCTCTTTCCCATCTCAGCTTCATTCTTAGGTTTCCACCATTATTGTCTCTTCCACCTCAGTCTTCTTCACCTCACTGAGCACCGTCTCCTACATTTTTGGGATCTCTTTGCACCTCGGTAATCACTGGCCCCATTTACACATGAGTCAATTTGCCCACTGTTGTTTCTTACTGTTCCCAGCCCTACTGTCCTCACCATCTTTCACCTTGCCTTGGTATTAGGGTTCCTCACAGAAATCAGTCCAGGACACGACTTCAGCTCCTCTGTCTTTCCCTCCTTCTGTCATCCTCATCTCATGAATCCCAGCACTACTTAATCTAGCACATTACCCACTCCTGTGCTTCTACACACAGTGCTTCTAGACCCTTCATCTCTGCCTGCTGGTCTTACTTTAAATGCATGGCCACAAGTCTTGAGTGGACTGTCTTAGTTACATTTATCTCCTTGCTAGGACAAAATACCTGACACCCAAAATTAAGGAAGGAAAGGTTTACTGAGCTCACAGTTTGTGGAGGTTTCAGTCCATAATCAACTGGCTCTAAGGCGAGGTGACGTGGCAGGGGAGGAACAGTTCATGGCTGTGGAAAATAGCAAAAGCAGCAAGCAAAAAGGGAGGAGCAGAGAGACAAAGCCTCTTTCCCTCCCTTATATTGTATGCAGGCTATCTGCCCCAGGGAGGGTGTAACACTCACACCCATATCCCAGCATTGGACAATGAATCAGTCATAAACTCTAGAAGCCACCCTGCATGACTGCATGGGCTTTAGGGGGACATCTAGACACAAACTATAGCATGGGCTCTGCTGGCTTCCTGCACTTTCTTGGACAGTGCATCCTGTATCCTCAGGCTGCTCCCACACCTCTTCCTTTCCACTTACCTCTACTACCACCTTATACTTCTGCAGTTTAACTGTGGGTGTTTCTTATTTTGTTGAGAAAACAGAAGCAATAAGAAATTGTCTCCTCCCAACACTAGTTTGCCAGCATGTCTGTACCTGTGTCACATCCTCTCCTCTCCTACTCCAAGGGTGAACCTGCTGTTGTCATTCAGTCTCTGCTGGTTCTCATATCCCTGCCTGCTTCCTGCAGAGCAGTTAGCTATCAATGACCCCTGCTCTTCTGCATCAGTTCTTTCTACTCTCCTGGACCAGTAACATTAGCATGCACACAAATTTTAGTAATTTCTATGTACCTTAAAACATAACAGAGCCCAGGTCTCCTGTTCCCCAGTATCCTGTCCAGGTAGCAGTCTATTTCTCTGCCCCTCTTAGTGTCTTCCATACTCAGTCTCCAATTTCTTACTTCACATTCCTTCTTGAAGCCACTCTGGGTATTCTATCATCTAGAAACTTCTTTGGTCATATCCTTTCTAAATCAATGTTCAAAGCTCAACCCCTATCTTGCTTAACCTAGTGAATTTGGTCCAACTGAGTAGTATGTTCCTGTTAAAAGCACTGGCTTGCCTTTGCTTCTGATTTTTCCTTTCCTTTCTACTTCTCCTGCTATGGTTGACTGGATTCTTTCTGTTTTGTCTCCTATATGCTCTAGAGAAATGAAGAGGGGGTCACTGCCCTCTTAAAAGATCTTATCAAGTCTCACTCTTAAAAGATCTTATCAAGTGCCATAGCTTTGAACACTATCTCTCTATTGCTCATAACCAGATGGAGCCTCTTCCCTGAGCTCAAGACCTGAACATTCTGTTGGTTATGTGACTTCATGGTGTTGATATAAAGCAGTAATCACACATGTATGGTTAACTCAGAACTTCTGATGTCTATCCAACCCCCTGTCTTTACCATGGTGTGCTTATCTCCTGCTGTTCTCCATCACAGTAACAAGCATCCTCTCGTTTGCTGAGACCAAAGCCCTTGGGCTCATCCTGGATTCTTCTTTATCTCATTTCACTGGTGAACCCATGAGCTCGTCCTTCTACACTACTAGACTCCAACCACATCTCAGTAATTCTACCATCATAACCTTAGCACTTCCTCTTGCCTAGACAATCGCAGTAGCTTGTTAAGTAGTCTCCATGGTTCATCCTTTGGCTTCCTACAGTCTTTACTTTGCTGAATAAAGAAGGAAGACAAAAAAGGCAGTCATCTCTTTCTTAAGGAAAATCCTGGAAAGCACTATGCAATACTTTCCCTCACAAAAGTAAATCACATGACCTCACCCAACTACAGGGGAGGTTTGAAAATGTAGGCTTTGTTCTGCGTAGCTATGTGGGTAGTTAAAATCAGGGGGCCTGTTACCAAGGTTAAAGAGTGAGCAGAAAGTGGGAATGAATAGTAATCTCTGCCAGAAAAAGCTCTCTGAAATGAGTTTTCAGCGATACATGAAGGGAGAGTTCAATGTGGCTGTATTGGGGAATAAGCAATCAAAACAAGGGAGATAGCACAGGAAAGGCTCTTGTGATAAGTTCCAGAATGCATGTGTCTTTTGAGACTGCAAAGAAGCCCTACAATGCTGGATCACTGGGGGCAATGAGAGTGCTTGCCATAGCAGACCTACTACCAGGAGCCACGTCTGTAGCCAACTTTGCATTTTCCAATTTAGCTTATATTCTTTAATGTTTTATGCATCAGCACAGTAAGTGAGGTTGTCAGAAGAAAGTGGACCAAATAACTGTGAATAGCATATCGACAGGGTGGAATCTATGCTTAGGACTCACCTTCATGGTACAGTTGAAAGACACAGGATTTTAAATCCTGCCTCACCAGGCTTCCCTGGCCTCTTGCTGACCATGCCCACCTCTGTTTCTTCATCTGCAAAGTGGAGGTATAAAGCACTGTCAGCCTTAGTCTTCCCCAGGAAATGTTAGCAGTGAAAGGAGAAGGAAAAAGGGGGCCAAGAAAAAGAACAAAGATGACACCGTTAAAAATTTTTAAGAATAGAAATATTGGCTAACAGAGCTGAAAATATATTTAAGTATCATTAATTTCAGTGATTCATTTGCTTTTTCTTGGCAAACTCAAATGAAATGGAAAAGAAAACTTTAGCCACCAGATGTCTCTATCTCTGCACCAAAGCTAATTGTTTTTATGCACTTGACCTTAAGATTCTCATATGTAAACAATGCAAACATACGTAATTTATTGATACATTGTAGGTTTTTGTTGAAGTTTTAAAGTTAACATAGTTATTTTATTGTGCCACTCTGAAAATAAGTTTGTCATTGGAGATAATTATTATCAAATTTATTTTTGATTGTGATCAGATTATGTGTATAGTATCCTAAAGATATGTTTTCCTCCCAAATGTCTTATTTTTAGGCTTGACTTCCTTTTGAAAGATGATGAAAAACATAACCAGATCATCCTGGACCTGGCTGTCTATAGGTAAAGACATTTTATTATACATTATTTGATGGCATTTCCATGAGTTTTTATTCTCGGTAATAATCTTTTGAGTTCTGAAAAATTTAGAAATGGAATGTGGCTTGCCATGTGATTCAGTGGAGTCTCATGCTTTGAAACAGAGAACACACTGTGATTTTTAAAAGCATGAAAATGAAAGAAGATTTATTTTACCTATCATTTTGTTTTGAAGCCCTGTATCACTTTTAATGTTCTTGCTTTGTTTTGTTTATGTTTGTGATTTTGGTATGCTACTATTGTTCTTTTTTCTCTCTTTCTTTCTTTCTTTCTTTTATTACTCTCTTTAAAATAAAAAAAAAAATGAAAGAAGAAATTAATGAACTCACCAGGCCATGGCCTTGCCCATGGAATATGGAAATCAGAGTTTAAATGATTCTCAGAGCTTTGCTGATTTCTGGTGTTGGTTTGGCAGTGACCCCCTCTGTTCTTATGACTCCACTGTTACTTTTGTAGTCCTTTTTATTTTTCTAGAATGCTTTGACATAATAAGACTTTCTCCCTTATCCCATCCTAGAGACCTGGTGCACATCAATTGTACCCCAGGGACTGTCTGTTGATCACCAGGGACACTAGTGCTCTGCACCCTCCTACCTCTTAACTGGCTCTCACCCACACTATGTTCCAAGAGACAGGTGTAGCAAGATGTCCTGCTTGTCCCTCATTCCTGTATCAGATTATTGGTACTGTCTTCTTCCTGAAACTCCATGGCCTCGACATGCAACCTTCAGCCTGAGTAACCTTTCACCTTTCTTCCTGAAAGTTATCTAAAGACACCAGGTCACTCCACTTCATCTCTTGGAGGCTTAGCTGTAGGATGTATCACAGTTTACCTCCTTTTTATGTCTTACTGAGATTCCATTGTATGGATATACCACACGTTGTTGTCTGTTCCTCAACTGATGAGCATTTTTGTTTTCACTGTTGGCTGGTAGGGATGGGATGTTCTTAGCCTGATCCTTTCCTCTTCACACTAAGCTATCTCCTACCCCTTATTTTCACTTGCTACCTGTAACCTGTGTTTAATGAGTTTCCAGCTCTCCTTGCTGACTTCCTGGCCTGTTCTTCTGCAGATCAACAATCAGTATTTATGTTGTTTTCACTTAAATACTCATTACTTCATTCTTTTATCTCCTTTTTCCCAGTAGGAAGCTGGGTCCTAACAGTGGGGAGTCCTAATACCATGAAGAGCTGTCAGCTCACCTCAATTCTTTGTGTCTTCTACACAAGAGTTTAGACTAGATACCGAGGCCTTCCTGCAGAGTATGGATTGAGCTCATTGCAAAATGATAGACTACCAGAGAAAGAGAATACTACACCTTCAAGCACGAAGGTGGGCGAGTGCCCAGATGGCAGCTGCACTGAATGAGATCTCAAGTTACATTTGTAAGATTAACTGGGTCTTTCAAGGAATATGGCCTTTCTTCTGAGGTCATTGTTCTTTTACAAGGAAAATAAGCTGTGTTAACCTGCTAGGTCTCTGTTTACTCCCTCTGTGGACATTTTTGTTTAGTTTCTTTTGAGAACATCAGGTTTTTCCAATCCTTCACCCATAGTCTGCTCTTTGTGTGGCCCCTGGATCTTGCTGGCACACTCAGAGGATATTACATTTCATTGAGTGAAAGTTTGAAACCATGAGCGTGTATGGATTTTATCTAAAGCTAATGATTAAAAGAGCAAAGGAAAAAGGGAAAAACAACAGGTCTGCCTTGCTTTTCAAATCCTTTCTCCTGCCTGCTAATGTCTACTTTTCTGCCTAGCATTTTCTATTGAAAGCCCTACTTCTGGAGTTTAGTAAATGTGTAAAACTTTCCCCTTAGCTCTGGTGGTTACTTCCTTTTCAAACAGAAACTTTTCTCATCCCCATGTATGTAGATTTTAAAGAGTGGTTATATTTCTTGTCTGTCATGAGTGAAATCCTTTTATTCCTATCATTCTGTCTAATGAATTACACTAAATCTCCTTGTTGACTCACAGAATTGTACATGAAATTAAATTCATTCATTCATGTATGCTTTCTGCCTTTATTCAACAAATATCTATAGAATACTTAGTATGTTCTGGGCATGGGGAGACCATAATGAACATATTCATGGCTCTCCTATTGCTTATGGCCCACTGCAGGGTGTGGCAGGGGAAAAGGATGTAGATAACAAATAGCGAGGCATCTAATGAGTCAGGACAAAGGGAGAAGGGAGCTATAAAGGACAGTGACAGGGCCAAGGATGCAGAATAATAGTTTGTACATATAGGGGTGGAGGTTTGGTGGTTGGTGCTGTGGGATGGCCAGGAACATTTGATGACATGAGCAATACAGATAGAAGGAGAAGTAGCTCGCTCTACACCAAACTGGCAGAAGATTGTTTCAGACAAAGAAAATCCTTGTGGGGAGGAATAAGTGAGCACATTAAGAGAACCTAAGCAAGGGAAAGCATCTGTAATCCATTAAAGTGATAGCTGTTTACACACTGTGTGATAAGAAAATTTGTACTTATTTTTATTATAATTTTTATGAAATATAACACTAGTTTCTTCAACATTAACTATGTGATAGGTGGTAGGCTTGTGCTCTTACAGTGACCTTAGGCAGTAGGCACAGGTCTGTGAGACTCCAAAGCCTAGACCTGTAACCCTCCCCTTTTGTCCCTTAATGTTGGTGATTTTCTTATCATGGGTGCAATATTAGGGTTAATATTTTAAGATAGATACAAATAAACTTCTTTTTTTAAGGAGGAATGTCTAAGGGTCTCATTTTAAGGAGGAAAGTCTAAGGGTCTCATTTACTCTCAAGACAAAGACAGCCTGATCTTGAGGTCACTGACTTCAAAAGAAGGCTCTGCTTACTCAGCAAGGTATGACTGCAAGGGGGAGAGATAAATGAGCTCTTCTCCCATAAGAGATGGTCCCAGCACAGCTGCAGAACAGCTGCCGGGCTCTGAGAGCATCTGAGGAAGCAGGAACTGCTGGCTGCAGGCCCCCAATGCAGTAGACTCAGAATGCCAGGCTACTCACGTCGTAGGGGCTTAAAATAAAATATTCATGAAAGAACATAGCAAGCTGTTTTTTGCAAACCTCTGGTGTTTCAGACCTTAGATATTTTTGGGTTAGGGGCAATCAATGCCAAGTGTACTTGTAGGTCTAAAACTGTAACTGCTGATATATTGAATTTCGCCTGGACTAGGGATTAATGTAGGACTAATCTAAAAAAACCTGCTTAGCATGAACATTTTAAATGCCCTTCATTTTAAATGGTTCTGTAAATGTGAATTTGTATCCGCAGATTTTGAGTGTATTATTTTTGAAAACTGTAAGATTTGGTATGTTTAATTTTGAAGGTATATGGACACGTCTTTAATTGAAGTGGATGTACAGCCCATGTATGTACGAGTAATGGTGAAAGGAAAGGTGCGTATAACCCTGTAGGATACCACAGTTCCTAAGGACTAAGCTGCATTGTCTTAAACATTTTAGAAACTATTAGTAAAACAGAAAAGAGAAAACCCACTCAGAGTGCTACTTTTTAGGCAGATGGTTTTATACCATGGGAATGGTATACAGGCTGGGAGGGAAACAGCTGATGATTACGTTGCTTGAGAAAATTAATACTTTAGACACGTCTGTTGTATTAGACTTTTTAGAAGCTTTAACATTATCATATATGTGGCAGACTATACATAAAGTTAAATAGTATACTCATTCTAAATTGTTAATGACTCTATTCATGGCAACTGGAATCTTGTCATTTTCAAATGGTGGTTTTTGCTGATTGTGAACATTCCTATGGGTTAGCTTAAAGACATTAAAATGGAAATGTTATGTCTTATCTATGAATTACTTTTTAGCCATAAACAGACTCATTACTATTTCACTATTTGTGAGTAGTGACTGTTCTTCAGATTATATGTTAAAATAGGTCAAATGGTTTATGCATTTCAAAGATAGCTTATATATTATTTATTATTTTTTCCATAATAAGTATAAGTACGTATCTTAACTGAGCATTACATGTTGAATTTGTGATGAAAAGATCTCTGGAGGTGACTCTGCCTTGTAACATGGCATTGCTGTCAATAGCTTCTACTCATCTTCAGCCCTTTCAGCTCGTCCTTCCTGCAGAAGTTAAGCCCGACAGCAGCTCTGCTAAAAGATCGCAGACAACAGGACATTTGGTGATCTACATGCCCAAGGTAGGCAATGGCATCTGCATTGGTTGCAAGTCTGGAGACAGTGGTTCCTGAAGGAACTTGACCTGTCAAAGCTAGTGGCAATTTCTGATCAAGGTTCTTTCATTTGAGAGAAACAGAAAATAGTCTTAGCTCAGTTCAGGTAGGAGGACAAGGCCGGTGAGAAGGGAGAGCTGAGACTGAGGTGACTGTGTTCTGAGGCAGCTCCTCCTCCTATAGTTTACAGCAGCTCTTGTCTCTGCACCTGCCTGTGTCTCTGCAGAGTCTGGGTGGTTGCTGGGAGGAAGAAGATCATGATTCTTCTAAGTGGAGCAGGTCTCATTGAGCGCTTCTATTCCATGATGACCAACACTTTCTGTACAAGTACCTACGAGAGGAGGTGTAGTAGGTAGGTTTTGGATCTCTAAAAGGACTATGCTTGATTTCCAAATATTGGACTCACCAGCATTGTGACTTCCAGTAAGTTATTAAACTTTCTAGGCCTCTAGGCCTCTACCATGCATTTTAAGAGAGAGAATGCATACAAAATTCTTAGCATAATTAGTGAATGGTATATGTTAACATTTTTATGACATGGACTAGATATTATCTTAACTAAAACTCCTTTTGTTCTTTCCTTGGGGTGTTGTTAATGTGTGTACACTTTTTATAAGACAGGATCAACTGAATTTGGTTCAATTTAACAAATATTTATTGCGTGCCAGTTTCTGGCCTAAAATGAATAAAAAACATCAGGCTTTTAATAAGTGTACTATAATCAATTATAAACAAGTAATTTATTTGCAGTCTGAGAAAAACAGTAACAGTGGCATATACAAGAAACAGTGGCACTGCTAACTCTGATTGGGTAAGGAAGAACTACAAGACCATGATTTTAAAGAGTGAGTTAAGTCTGATACATGGAGAGAAAGGGCATGTGGTAAGGAGACAAGTAGCATGAGGCATGGTGTGTGGCTGTAGCATAGGACAGATGTGAGAGAAGGAAGGAGGGGAAAACTAGAAGGTACTATTATGGGTGAGATCTAGAATGTCTCCCCAGTTCTCATGTGCTCAGAAGTGCAACTTTTAGGAGGTGATTGGATTAGAAGGCATTGTCCGCATCGGTGGATTAGTCCACAGAAGAGTGCAGGGAGAAATGTGCTGTTAGGAGGCAGGGCGCCGTTAGAGATGGGGCCCGATTAGAGGCAGGACCTCTTTAGAGGCGCATCTTTCGGGGCATGATCTGGAAGGATATATCTCGCTCCTTAACTCCTGCCTGCTTTCTCTCCTTCCTGGCTGCCATGTCTTGGGCACCTTATCTTTGCCAAACCCTTCCCCCACACCCTTCCTGGCTTGGAGCCTACCAGTTATGGACTGAATCCTCAAAACCCATAAGCCAAAACAATCTCCTCCTTTAAGCTGTGGGTGTCTCAGCAAAGAGAAAAGTGACTAAGCCAGGTACACAGGAGGAAATTCATGGGTGGCTTCAGAAATATCACTGTAGATGCAGTTTGGTACTGGTAATATATTGGAGAAACCAGAGAGATAGTTAGCTGCTAAGTCAAGGCAAAAAATGATAAAAGTATGAATGATAATTTTGTGCTTTCATATTTAGTGAGTGCATCTTAGAAAGCAGATCCTGCTCTAAATGCTGAGTGAAACAAGATTTCTCCCAGTGGACAGGGAAAGACAGACAACAGACAATTAAATAAAGTTATTTCCAATAGAAATAAGCTCTGTGAGGAAGATAAGGTTGACCGTAAGCCTGAAGGGATGACTGAGGGCATGTGACGGTGGCCTGCCACTTTAGAGTTCATGATGGTCAGGACAGGTCCTTGTGAATGATAACATTAAATCTGAGACCTCAATGATGTGAAGGTCCAAGTGAGTAAAGAGATGATGTCCTAAGCAGAAAGGGTAGCAAGTACAAGGAAACTCTGGTGGGAACGAGGTTGGTGTTTGAGGAACAGGGAAAAAAATGCCATAATATCTGGAATATAATGTGTACAGAGGAAAGTAAAGGGAGATGCCAGAAATATAGGCCCAAACTATCTTGTGCACAGCCTTTTAGGCCACAACAAAAAATATGACTATTACTCCAAGTGGTATGGAAAGCCACTGGTATGTTTTAAGCAGAGGAATAAAGTGATCTGATTTATGTTTTTCAAAGGTCATTCTGCCTTCTATATGGATTAAGAATCAAAGGATGGTAGCCAGGCATGGTGGCTCACACTTGTCATTTCAGAATCTGGGAGCCTGAGGCAGAAGGATTGAAAACTTCAACCCAGCCTGAGCATTTTAGTAAGACTGTGTCTCATAAAGTGGGGAGAGGTGCTGGGGATATAGCTCAGTGCCTATGCAAGAGCCCTGGTTCAATCCCCAAACACACACACACACACACACACACACACACACACACACACACACAGGCACACTAAGGGTGAAAAGAGTAGAAATGGGAAGAACAGAAGCAGTAAATGCAGTGGAAAGCTGTGCAGTGAGGTAGTCTAGTTGAGAAAGGATAGGCAACAATTAACATTTGGTGAATTGATGACAAATTCATTTGGTGAATTTTGATGATGGGGCCAACATAATGCAGATAAGTCAAAGAGGCTTTCACAATAGGTATATACCAATGCCATTCTCTGAGACGGGAAGACTATGGAGGAATTTGGGGAACCAAAAACCTGGATTTATGTGGCCACCATAAGCTATAGATGCCTTGGAGCAGCTAGTTGATGTCTCATATGTAAGCCATGATTTCAGTGGAGTGGGTCAGATATGGCACTGGAAATGAAAAACATATTATAGTTATAAATGTGAGACTGAAAAAGCTCATGTTGGACGAAAGCTGAGGTGGAAGAGAGAAGAGGGCCCACATTAGGGGAATGAGGGCCTCCTTCACTTTGGAGTTGAGAAGAAAAGGAGTCACACAGAATTATGAATCAATACTCAGTGGGTTAGGAAGAAGGGCAGAAGTGTGTGGCATCAGTGAAGCCTGAAGGATAAACTATTTTAAGAAGAAAGTAAGAGGTTGAGTCTGAGGAACCATAAAAGTGATCATTGGGTTTGACAAAAGGGAGGCCATTATGGCCTTGATAAAAGTCATTTCAATGGGGCAGAGGAATTGAAAACTTGTGGAAAGGATGGGTAGAAGAATAAGCACCATGGAAGTGAAGACCAGAATTTCAGACAGTGGCTTTTGGACGTTTTGTTGGAAATGGGAATAGATTAATAGGAAAGTGGCTGGAGGGCCATGAAGAATCAAGCAAGAGCTTTTGAGGCCGTAGTTGATATAGCTAGAAGAAATATTAGAGAAGTAGAATAAATGATTCATTGAATATTCAGTGGCAAATTGAAGATGAAAATATAGGCTGCCCTTCCGTGGTGAATTAAAATTGTAGTGTTTATAATTTCCAAGGACTGAAAGATTGCCTCTGCTGACTTTTAAAATCTTTAACTTTGATCTCAGACTAGAATTAAAGACAGAGTTGTGGGGAAGCTCAATAGGGTTACCATATATAGATAACCACTTTGAAAGAACTTCAAGACATTAAACATATTAATTTGTCTATATGAAGTGCCTAAATTCCTCATTATAGACTATATGAATCACTTCAGATATCTTGTGCTGTAAGCTGCAAGATCACAAATAAAACTGACGGTGACTATAAAGAACTACCTCACCTCTTACAAATTAGAAGAAGGCGAGGAAGCCCCCAGGAAGGAAGGGTTAGGGTCTTTCTGAAATGTCAACTTATTCTCAAACCAGCTTTTTCCCGTTAGAGGAGAACTGGCAGTAACTCAGGAAACAGCCTTTCTTGTTCTCACCTTATGTGAAATGGAGAGAGCTTCAGGGAGAGGGTCTTTCTCTCTCTAGACTGCCTGGGACAATCAACTGAAAAGCCCCTCCTCTCCTGACTTGCTTCACCCTGGGTGGCAGAACCAATCTCTAGCCAAAGGGATGGGAATACTTTAACTTGTTTTTCTCAGTCTGACCTCCTCCCTGGAGCTAGAGTCAGGTCACTTGTGCCCACTCAGGTCAACTCAGATTTCAAGCGGGAAGAGTAAAGACACCAGGCCCAAGAGAGTTCTTTCAGCAAGGAAGGAAAGGAGAATGGGGTAGGAGTGCCTGCTATGAAAAACATAAGATTGATTGATCAGTGAGGTTTCTGCAGTGATTTCATAATCCTCATTTTCCTGTAGCCAATTTTCCAACAGATTGATTATAGATAATCAATTATGTTTTATGCTGAAGCAAAAAATAGAAAGTACAATTTGTTGTGAAGCAATAAAATAAACAGACCTATAAGAATCACATTGTCCTTGGTGTACTCAAAAGAATACTTCTATTCTAACTGGAATATCTTAAAGAGAAATCTAAGAGATAGTTTCATTTCCTCAGTGTTTTGATAGTATTTATTTGTGTAATGTTGTGATCGACAACTTTATCTTTGTTTGGAAACATCTAATTCAAAAGGCAAATATTAAATGTACCTTTGCTGTTTCCTGTAGGGAAATCAAGAGATAATTTATGTACTTTTTGCTGGGTGTCACAGAATTGATGGAATAATCTCTCCTGTCATGTTAATGAGTCTTTTAAATAAATACAACATTCTCCATTTTTCCTTTTGGTTTTCATGGCTGTCTAAATTTTAAGTATATACTTGGCTAAAAGAAGAAATAATTTGTAGAGAAGGACCAGGGATTGTTTGATTTTTCCTCAGTGGTGAGCAATAAATAACATTGTTCTTTTGAGGTATATATTTGTTAAGATTTTAGACTACTGTGTTAAAGTAGCATTGATGTATATTTTAGTCATTTTCCTTCATTATTCCCTTGAAAAGTTAGTAAAAATACTTTGGAGAATTATTTCTTGCCTAAAACTGGCTGTTTTTCAGTCATGAGTAGTTATTAGTAAGGATGGGGTGCTCAGAAATATTTTTCTTAAAATAATTGAAAAATTAAAATTATTTATACTTATTTAAATGTATATTATTGAAAGTCATCATCTTATAATATTC